CACACACACACACACACGTTTCTGTTCTTCTTTTGAATCACGTGGCTACAATTTAACCTTGTTGTCATAACTACATAGCTTGTCTTTTTTTTTCAAATATATACAAGTAGTTTTATTATGTGTGTTGTGCTGTCTGACATAGTGTACACTAACCATTATACGTTAAGCAGATTAGGAATGTAAAATTTGGATCTCCAATTTCATTCCGTTTTCCTTAATGAAATAAATTAAATATTTATTGTAATATGAATTTAGGTCTAGTCAAATAAACAGCGAATTCACTTACAGAATCTGAAAAACAAATTTTCCATTTGAATTATTTTTAAAATTTAGTCTATAATTATCCATAAGATATATTAGGCCCTCACAAGCATGGAATTAAATAATTTAAAACCAACAGATCATATTATAGGAGGTTTCACGTTTTGTCGGTAGAATGTGGAGCGTTGTTCCATGTTATTACTTTAAGAAGCTAGCTGCTGGCTTGCAAAAAATATTTCTTTCCGAATTGTGCAAATGGGGAATTAATTGTCCATATAAGATATGGAACTTTTGGGCACATGCATTTGAAACGAATGATTTTTTTTTACAATCTTATCTTTTTTTTGTTCTCTATTGTTAAACATAAAGCTACATAATGGGTTATCTGTACTCTATCTACCACGGGTATTAAAACCCGATGTTCAGGGTTATAAGATCTTAGATTTGCCGCTGAGCCAGTAATTTTATGAAAAGCAAAGTATGTAGTTAGAATATCTAATAACATTCCAGAAACTTCTGACTATGCCTCCCCGGTGGTTCAGCAATAAATCTGAGCCCTTATACCACTAAAAATTGCATTTCGATACCCGCGGTGGGCAGAACACAGATAGTCCATTGTGTAGCTTTGCGCTTAGTAAAAAACAAACGTAAAATTACTTTACTGAATTTATATAATAATATTTTAGAAGCGCCCTATTACATATCTTAAATGAAACTCCAGCTATATTAGGGAATAGATAATTAGAACGAATAGATTTTTGAAGATATGACTACAATAATATTTTGAGTGCCGATCGTGACTTTCTGGTTAGAGTGCCTGGATTGTGATTCGAGGTGTCGTCCCTTTGTCGCAAAAACGTTTTCCCGCACTGAGGTTGTGACTGCGTTATAAGAGTATTCGGTCAGACAAGGGTAGTTCAGTAGTTGGTGGTGGGTGTTGTTGCCTTCCTTCAGTGTCTACAATTTCAAACGTAGAGGTGGCTATTTGTAGACAGTCTGTTTTTGCAACTCTGCGCGAAACGTTTAAAATAAATAAACAACCATACGTTAAGCGTCCTTTTTGTAACTATTAATTAAAATATTTACAGAATGTTAACGAACGCCACAAAGATAAAATAATTGACTCGTCTTTATAATCGCGTGACATTCAAAAAAATATTAATATCGTCCTAAAATACGAGCGATCTTAAAAAAAATAACTAGTCAAACATACACACATATGTATAATCAATAACCCGCGGACAAAACCAAAAATTGTAATATTGGAACATATTTGTTTTATTTACCTTCTAACGGAAAGTATGAAAGGCAAAATAAAAACGAAGGAGAAGCAGAAGCTTTTAATATTTCCTATACCATTTTGTTTCCACTTGAATGTTCTGAATTTGTTTTTTGCTTTTTTTTGTACTGATGTAGTTCAGCGTGTGGTCCGAGCAGCACTCTACAGCAGCGGCATCGCCGTGATGCCGCCACAGTAGCCTCTCGTCTCTCACCTAGAAAGCATTCCTTCTCTTTCATCGTGAGCTCCAGTGGAGAGCGTGCGACAGCAGCCTTAGCCCGGGTATTCGTCAATGTGTTATGTAGAAGCTGGTCTTCTGGCGCAGTAGGGGGACGAGCACAACGTCATTAACTAGGGATTAGCGAAACTCGGGGGGAAAGAGCCTAGTTACAAACCCCGTCAGTGACGTTTGAATAGGATACTTATTGCCCAATCCAAGCGCAAACTAGCTAGAAATAAGCAGAGGTAGGTAGACAGGTAAGCAGGTAGGGTAGATAGGTAGGAAGGTAAGGAAGTACTCTTGAACTAAGGCTGGATCAAGCTCACGTGTTCAAAGTGGCTACCAAAAACTCCGCGACCGTAGCTTCTTCCAGAGAAGCTCGGTCCGCCGAAGATCAGAGCACGGACCAGAACAAGGTAACCCACGTCGGCCGTCAAGTCTATCAACGATTCCAGACTTACTGCAACCGCTACCTACCACAATTTCTACGAGGTCCTTCTGAAACCGGATCAAGTAAGTATTACATTACCTGTTGATATGTTCTACATACCTGCCTGTAAACTCATATGATAAGCTAGAGCTTTTAACCGACAAAATCAAGCACCTGTTTATAAATCATTTTAACAGGTACTCGTAATATCATATAACACTTTCTCAGTATTTTTCTATTTGATACGAATGCTGTATTTTATGAGTAAACCTCTATATTTTTGTGGTGTTGCTTTTAATTTCTTTCCAACTTTCTCAGTTTTAAACTCTTCGTTATGTGCCCAATAAAATATGTGCCAGAAATATTGTTTTCCTGTTTCTTCGCTGTTCATTCGTTCTAAAATAAAATAATATTTTTTTTTTACTAAATCCACCACTGTTATGCGAAAAAACACAAGAACATCTTGATTAACAGAGATCCTTTTTCTTTTTTTTTTCCAGTACAAATTTTTCAGTTTCGACAATTGGCAGCTAGTTAAACTCATAACATATTATTTAAAACAAGTCCTGTTCGTAGTTAGATAAAAGATGCTTCAAATCGAACTTTTAAATTATCTTAAAGTTGTGAACGGGTGTATTTCCTCAAGTAATAAAACGCCTTTAGCATTTTTTTGCAGAAGCGCTATACATTAAAGTGATATTAGGAGACATCTTCTACAAACATAGACTATTTTAATAATAATAAAGTTTTTGCAGCGTTGAAACATTATCAAAATTAAAATCTTATTCGACAAACCATATTCTATATCATTCGTAATGTGTTATACAAACTGAAGAAGGGCGGAAACAAAACTCACAAGTGTATAACAGTACAGAGTAAATATGCTTCGAGATTTTTTTTAGCGTTCTAGTGTGCAGTTTAGAACTTTCGCATAGCACTTAATTAAATGTAGTCGAATCGTGTATTCACAAGCTTTATAATGCCGTTAATTTTATACAACTTACATATACATAGTATGTAGTATCACAAACCTTTCAACACAATTTTAAATGAACTTTCATGAACTTCGCGTAAGTAGTAGAAACAGCCATTATATTCAACAGACTGTTGATTCAAGTAAGTAATACTTGGTAAAACGAGTCTACTATATCAATAGTATTATTTTTTTCATTAACAGGTTACCGTGGTAAACTTTATCAACATATATATATTTTTGTTGACGTCAACCTAGATACTCGCGTGTTACAGACCAACGAGCACTTGGTTAATAATACCCCTCAGCTCAAGACAACAAATAAACCTTTTTACTACTCTATATGCAATAGTATAGTTTTAGTAAAATGTATTTGTATTATGAGAAGCACTGGCTAGAAAACACCTGTATAGATTTTTCTTGAAAAAAAAAACGACACTGGAAAGAACAATTAACTGAAAACATGTTCAGCTTTCTGGAAATGTATGAAGCATTGTTAGGATGTCAATCATTCTAGTTAGAGGTGTTAGTTAAAATGTAAAAATAGGAAACAGAACTGTAGGAATCGTGCAATCTTTGGCCTGAAACCTTTCCTGCTAAACGAAAAAATCGATTCTTTGGAGAAATCTCATCTCAATGTAGTTTGTAAGGTGTGGCAAATATACAAAAAATATGACGGAAATTATGGAGATAAAATCGTGCTTTGAATTGTAAACTTTTGTTTTGGTGCTAGTTTTCTCGATATTTCATCTTTCAGTTTTTTTCAACATTTTATAATTTACAATTTCTCAAAGTTTAGCAGACCAAGAATTGAACTATTCTATCATAATTTAACAATTTCAGTGAATCTAGGGAACGTGAATATACTAAATTTTCATGAATGTTTATGGTCTTATGTTTATTAATAATCCTACTTAATAACATTGACATGAAGCCATACCTTTAGTTAAGTAGAATGAGAACTTAACACTAATACCTTTTATTTTGATTAAAATTCATAATCCAGATATTAATATAATGCAGTTAAACGGTTGGTGTATCAAGGAAATTTGCTGTACGTTTAATTTTTCGTTTAAAAATAAAATAATGTTATGATAAATATTGTGAATATATATATATATATGTGTAAAATCTAGGGAAATAATGCCGTATACATCTTGCGAATCAAAGCATTCCACAATACTTCTTATTCAATGAAATATAAAAAACAAAACTGAGTATACTATCAAATCCATTTATAAGATTTAAGTAAATAGATAATACATTCTTTTATGAGGAAAGTGCACTTATATAATGCCGTTATTATCCTTTCCAATCGGCTTAACCAACTAATGAACTAAGAAAGCGAGATCTCTGGATAATCAATGATTATTGAGTTTCATTCATACACGGGTGAAAATTTTATGATTTGTGAAAAACATTTCCTAATAATCTAATAAATAAATGGAAAGGAATAGCAATGGAGAATTGCGTTGTTAGTGGATCCTATAGAGTTCGGACATGTCTTTGTCGTTATCAGACGAACAAAAAGAAGTATTGAAAGCTTAAATTGGCTTGTTCGGTATAACTATTTTGATATCAGATACTTAGCATGCGTTTCTACATGCAATTTCAATGTATGATAAGGAAAATTTACACTATACATTGAATAAAACACTTTAAGTTTAAAACGAAATAGCTTGCATTTCAGTACATAATGGGAGGAATTTCTCTTCTTTCACTGCTTTTTTATGTTATTCTATTGGTTATAACTTTATATACTTCAAATATTTTATATATAATATTATATAATGTCAAAGATATTACATTCTAGAGTACGGGTCGTTTTTTTTTACTACCGAAATATCCCACTTTACGAAAAACAGTTCATGTCTGCAGCTTCGGCTTGTGGAAAGTTCAACAGTAAAATCGTGTATTTGGTGAAACATCTTATCATTTGGAAAATAATTTATTTGAGATTATTTTGGAACAATCTAATTATGCCGAAATGTGATTAAGGCTTTCATTTACTTTCGGTGTTAATGATAACGATTTAGTGTTGATGTACATGAAAGAAAAGTCGGTAAGTTAGCAAAACACAAACTCTCTTTGATCTCCTGAAAATGTTACATATTCAACTATAATTAAAGGTATGATGTTTATCTAGTATTTTAAAATATCAGTAGGCCTGATGTTTACATTGACTTAATTGAGAAGTTTTCATAACTCATCGATTTATTATACTCTCTTTTACTTTAGTTTTGTCTTTTTTAAATATTAAATTTTTTAATACGTTTGAAAGATGATTATCTAAAGAAACAACAACAACAGTAAGTTAAATATACTTTGGGCTTTGACACCTGACAAATAGTTATTTAACACTCGTTCTTAAGAGGCAGAAGTAACTTGTCTATTGGGATTTCCTTCTTTCTTTTTAATTGTATTAAAAGAATCTTCTAAACAACCTTAGATTCACATTTCGTGTATAAAAAACAACTCCAACCTATTTGTGTCATTATTCATACAAGTAATCGTACACATTTACTCCTGCGCACGAATAATGTCATCACTCCAGTCGTCATGGAAAAGTGGGCTATTATAGTGACTGAACTATATATATATATAGCTTCGCATTTCTGTAGATAGTCAGGATTATTCGAAGAGAGGGTACAAATATTTCCATTTAAATAGTCTTACCTTAAGTCCAAATGGCTCTCCTTCTATACAAAACATAATGGATAATAACGTAGGATGTCACTTTTTGAAATAGTACTTATATTTCTGCAACGTAGTAGTCGCTATAAAAATTCATATAAGCGGTAGGAGTGACCCTCCTAGAGCATTGTAAAAAAAGGTAGACTTAATGTAACAGTCCATGCGTCAAGCAACTAAACAACACGCAAAATTTCTAGATGATTAATTTTCTTCTGATGCGATAAAAAGTAAGAAAAAAAAAAGAAAAGGGTCTGGGATTCCCTTGTAACTATAATGTGCGTGGTTTTTGAAGATAACATTATAAAGACATTTGGCGGTCTTTTATCAGACAAATAAACACTATCAGCCATTGACTGCCAAAAGGAACTTGAAGCAGATGACTAAGACTGATCATCGAATTTCTTTCTCGTCTTCCTCTCTAAGGTAATCAAATAAAATGAAATTGCCATTGAACATCGCATTGCACTCTAAGATTAAATAAACAGGTTGGTACAAAATTTTAGACTCATGCCAAAGTTAGTACCAACATACAGTCTGAAACGTGTTAGATTATTTACGTTCATGTGCCTTATATATATATATATATATATATATATAGTTGAAGAAAAAACCATATATTATACGCCATTATACACCACATACATATTTAGTAGCACCAAAAATAATCACTGCTTAATTACGATGTTCAATTAAAATTTCCAATAAACATTTACTTAACCACACGTAAATCTTCCACGTGAGTGCAAATTATCTAAATATCATGCTAGAATCCAGCGACTTACAGTTAAACTTGTTATTTATCATTTTATGCCCTATTACTATTAATATATTTCTGAAATCTTTACTTGATAGTCAGCAGATTTAATTATTTCATTTAACTTTTTTTTTAAAGATTTTATAAAGCTTTCTTGATAAATATAAAATAACTTTCTATAACATATGAATGTAAGTTGCTAATGTTCTATGACTTATATCTCAAGAAAAAAAACAAATCCTATCAGCAACAGGAGTCGGTGAAAGCGTAGAGTTCTGTTTGTTACAGGAAAGAAATGCAGTTTTTACAAATTATTTTAACCAAAACAATAAAAAAATACATTTCGTATAACGAACAGTTTTCTCAATCACACACAATTAATTTTCATTCTGAATATTAAATTCCATGACTATACTTTCCTGATAACAGATAAAGGGTGATAAAGTTTGTTGGATGTGTTTGATTTAAAATCTGGGATTTCCTTACATTGCTTAAGTATTCAATGATCAATGAGCTTTAATTTTTTAATTTGTGATCGAAAGAGATATGTTCCTAATAACTTGA